AAAAAGGGACGAAGGAGGGACGTGCCTTCAGGCGTGCAGATGTGCGCAACAGCGCAGTCGGGCCATCGAAGCACCTCGGCGCAGAGAAAACCGGCCAATTTTCTTTCCGCCCTCCTCCTTCCTTCTTCTTCTTTCCTCCAGACACTTCCCCCCTTCCCCCCGCACGCGTGCAGAATATTTTGCCGCAGGCACCGCATGCACGCAAAGCGGCGGCTTAACGGAAGGAAATACGCAAATTAAAAAGAAAAAACAGAAGGCGGGCCAGAGAAGCAGGCGAAAAACGGTCTCACGGCACGCAGCACCTCAGCAGAACGGGCGATGTCTACCATCACTGGTGTTGGCTGTGGTGTGGCGGGCGGGAAAGGCGAAAGCAGCAACGAGACATCGCACAACAGCGACGGGGCAGCAGCGGGGCGGGAGCAACACGAAGCCGCGACACGCAGACAACACCGTGCGAAGGCAGGAGCAGCCGCTACGAGCAGCAACGGAGGGAGCGAAAGAGGGAAAAACAACGGACGGCGTGCGTGACATCACGTGTCTTTACTCTTTTCCTCCTCCGCCATTTTTGCAATCTCACTCGCTCTTTTCCCTCTTCCGTAGGAGCTCGTCGTTGGCGTTTCTCCCCACACCCAAGACCACGGCGAAGCCCGTGGGTCGCACCGAAAAGATAAAAAATGAAATACACACACACACACACAAAGGGCTTTTGGCTGTATGTACAGGTGAAGATGCATGACGTCGGACTTACCGCAATGACTCTTCAGCTGAGCCGCAATCATTCTTGCATGCCTCGCTTTGCTTTAGCTTCGCTCCCGGGCCAGTGTGTGCGTGCAGGCGTTTGCGTATCGCGTTCGCCGTCTTTCCCGCCGTACGCCTTCGTTGTGTGCGGGAAGAGCGTGCATATAAAGATATACTTTTATCTTCCCTTCCATACTTTCACCGTCGTTCCGGGCAATGATGTCCATTGGTAAGGCAGCTCCCCCCTTCCACATATTCCTCGCCTCGCTCTCTTTTCTATATTCCTTTGGCTTCACCCGCCTCCGAATTTGTGCTGCCGCCGCTGCGGTGGCAGTTGTTGTTAGCTTATCACCTCCCTTCCCCGTTTTCTTCACCACTGCTGTGTGTGTGTGTGTGTGCACGGCACATGCGCGGGCACCACCACACGCATCCACCGTCTCATCCTCCCCCCCCCCCCCCGCGCCGCTTCAATAGGGCCCCACTTCCTCCCGCGCCTCTGCCTTTTTTTTTCTTTCTTTCTTTCCTTTCTTTTCTTCATGTGCGTAGTTGCTGCGGCGCTTCGTCGTCGTCCCTGCGTCCACGCTATTAGTTATATCAATAAATATATATATATATATTATAAATGCACCATTTATTCCCTTCTAATCTTCAGCAAAGGCTCCCCCTAATAATCACACATTAGTAATTATTTAGCTTCCAACGCGAACAGTAGAAGTAAATAGTAGTAATACCCGCAATTGGTATCACCTCGGTTACCGCGTTACTTCCCTCCTCCTCCTCCTCTTTTTTTTTTGGTTGTTGTTGCGTGTGTGCTTTATTGTTCTCATTTTTTTTCCTTTTCTTCTTCTTCTTCTTCGTCGTTTTCTACTGCTTCAAAGCACAAAAAAAACAACATCAACTACATGTATATACATATACACACGCACGCAGAGACGGCGTCCACCTCCCACGCCCCCAACACCCTCCCTCTGCTCCCTCCTCTCATATTAGCAGCAAATACATGCGCTTATGTATGTGTATATGTATGAATAACTCTCTGAGTGCGTGTGAATGGGTGTGCGTGCCTTCGATGCATTGCGGTTGACCCCTTCCCCCGTGGGGGGCAAGGAACACACACACCACACACGTGAGGGGCGGGAACAGTCAAGCACACACGAGCGAAGGGGCCACGAACGATTCAGCAAAGAGGAGAGTTCAACATAAACAACAATAGACAAATAAAACAAGAGAGAAAGATAAAGCAATGCGTGGGGTGTGCAGCATCAAAAGGAGAGAGCGAGGAAAGAGTCGACCGAGAGGCAAAAATCCCCCGCCTCCTCATCGTCGTCAACAGCGAAACGGAGAGGCGAAGGCGCGACGTTGGCGCAGCGGAATATTGCAGCCACTGAGGCACGACCCACGCGCCCTCGCCTCGCTGAATGCCCTCACACGCCCATGGGCGCTGGGGAAGCGGAGGTTCTTCTCCATGTCGGTGCACGCCCGTCATCGCCAACGCCGTTTTGTCGCTGCTGCTGCTGTTGCCGCCGTCGAGGGTCAGGCTGCAAAGGCGCAGGATGCACGCAGATGAAGCGAGAACAACAAGAAAAAAAAAAAAAGACAAACGCTCCTATTTCTTCATTTCTCCCACTCAACGTCGTCCACCACATTGGCGTCTCTTCTTCTCTGCGTAAAATATGTGCCTGCATACCTGACCCTGTAGCGGTCGTCTTTCCCCCCCCCCTCCTTTTGTGCTGATGCCTTTGGATGGAGCTGCGGCGGACAAGGGAGCTGTGCGAGGGCTGCGCTCGTGCGCCCCCCCCCCTCTTTCCCTTTTCTTCCTCATTTCCCGCCTTCCCAGCCCAGTTGCGTCTGTCCGTCCTAATGTGTCTGGGCCATGCACACCTTCGCTTCTGTTTTCTTTTTCTCCCTCCTAGTTCCAACGTCGGAACACATCTGCCGCCTCCGCCTCTCGTCTGTGCGTGCATGCTCTCCGCCTCACTCACTCCAGCAAAAATAAATATATGGATATGCGTCTGCATGCAATGTTGGATGTGTGTACGTAAGCTCGCTTCCTTTCATCATCGTTCCCCTCCCCTTCTCCTCCTCTCAGTCCCCACCAACCCCGTTGCTCTTCACTCCGTTACTCCCGTTGCCTCCACAGGTACAGATATGTCACGCACGCAAGTACGCATATGTGTGTGCCTCCATTCACGGCCGTCCACCGCTGCTGCTGCTTCTGCTGATGCTTGAATGCTCCTTCCCCCCCCTCTCGCTTCCTTCTTTTTTTAAAGAAATTGTTTTCCTTCTTTTTTTTTAAACCTTCCCGCTGCTTGTTGTTGTTGTCCTCCTCACTTCTTC